CAAAAGAGGCTGTAGGGAAAGTGGGAAGATGGTTGGGACAATACATTTCAAACGAGGTTTTTCCTCGATGATTGATTATTTTGTGGTTTGATTTGTTGGTGTCTGTTTTATTAGCTAGGGATATAACAACATTTTAAAATGTTTCTTCTAATTTAAGAGGGTTGTAGCATTCTCGATAAAAGTTTTCAAATCGAGATATTTGAAGATAATGAGAGTATATACCTTTCTTGGCCTTCGATTTATCCTGCAACATGAGAGAAGGATGCGCAGTCAATTTCGATTGGATGATATCAAAGTCAGAATGAATGCGTGAAAATCAATCGTTCCACAATTGAGAAAAACCAAGAGTAGACAAGTAATTCGATTCAAAAGCATAAGGGTAGAAATGCAGCGGGCTTTGTGGTAATAGTTTGGCAAGTTCTCGTCCTACATTCGATTCATTTAACTTGGACTTTGGGGAACTATCGAGATTGAAAAAGGTAAAGCTTGACTTAAACCGAACTGCCACGAAAAAAGTTGAGGGTAATAGATGACAAGTTGGATATCCTTCGATTGAAAGCCCGATACAAGAACGTCTTGGGTCAAGTAGTTACTCCATACATCTACTAGTTCCGATTATAACCCTGGAGTAAGAGCTGAGAATTTTGATTTAAACCAGGTTGGTCCTCGAAGTTTATCACTTACTTTTCCATGGTATACAGTAAACGGAGCCAGACATGAATCAAAATGAAATCGAGTTAACAAGAATTTCAAATAGGTTTTATAACTAGCCTCACTGGAGGATTTTTGGATGTTGGGGGAAGGATACTTTCAAAAATCGAAGTGAGCTACAATTGAATGAACCATATAGGACCTGAGAAATTTCCTGAGGGTCTTTGTGCATTCAGAATATCGACTGCCTCATCGAAAGTGGTATAAACATGAACCAGTAAAAGTTTCACCAAACAAACTCGGGGTTGACCAGTGTGGAGGAGGTAGGCAAGATTATAAAAATGGGATGAGATTTGGATGGATCGAGGGCAAAATACATGGGTGCAAAGCCAATATACCAAAAAAGCAACATGCTCTTCATCAGAAACGGCTACCGATTGGTCATCAATAAAATGTTTTTCGATGAAGTGTCCATAGGCCTTCGAATCCCAATCGATTTTTGATTTGAGAGAGTCGTCTGAAAGGAAAGCACTCTTAAAATATTTTTCCCCTGTGGGCTTTAATCCGGTAATTGCAGCGACCTCAAAAAGAGTGGGGGAAAGAGGACCACAGGGAAGCTCCATCGCGTGTAAATCTTTATTCCATAAATGGACCGCAGATAAAAACATAGACATATCCAAAAATGATAGATCGCATCGAGATAGGTGTAGAAAATCGAAAATCCCTACATCTCTCCAGTGATTCCCAAACTTAGTCTTTACTCTATCAAACCATCTTATGTGTAAGGGCTTTTTATGGGGAGGGCGCGTTCGATATACTTTCGAAATAGCATTTAGAAAATCAATCTGTGCCTCAGATTTATGAATTGGGGCTTTACTCGCTGAAGGAAGACAAATAGAAGAGGAAAACGATCCACCACAATAGCGGATAGGACCACCAAATGCATAATCTACGTTATCAACTGCGTAAGGCAGTGACGGATCTTGACCATTGATCTTGGGGGGGGCAAATAATATATTACTAATAAATAATAAATAAATATAAAAAGAAGAAAGAAGATGAAAGGGTAAAAAGATAAAATTCTAGATATATACTTAAATATATTAAATGATCATTAAGTTTGAGGGGAACAAAATCATAAATTATATGAGAGTTACAAAATTGAGGAGGGGCTGAGAGGATAAAATTGTAAATATACAAGTAAATATATTAAATGTTCATTATGTTTTGGGGGGCCAAAATCATAAATTAAATGGGAGTTACAAAACTTTGGGGGGGCCACGGCCCCCTCAGCTCCCAAGAAGATCCGCCACTGGCGTAAGGGATAAGTACCTGTGTCTCAGCAATTTTCTGTGAAGCTTCTTCCAACAAGGGGACTGGAGCAAACTTTTTGTCGTTTTTCTCTATTAGAGTCGAAGTTACCGACGACAGTGGCGGGGTGGGGAAGTCGGAAGATTTGGAAGTCGCCATTATAGTTGTGGAAAGAGTGAAGACGGAGAAAAGGTGTGACGAAGAAAGAAGATGGGTTAGGTTTTTGGTAAAAATACGTGCAAGTTGATTGGAGTATTTAAAAAGGCCAACTAGGGTATTTGAAATGACTAATATGAGCAGAGGGTAATTAATACGCGTTCGCGTTGTGATAGTGGAAGGTGATGTGATTTGATATTTGACATAAAGCAGCAAAACCCTAAAAGCCCTAAAAACCCTAAACAACCCCAAAAACCCTAAACCCTAAATAGTTATTTTTTGGGCTTTAGGAATATTTAAGGGCTGGATTTGTTTTTTTTATAAGAATATAAAATTGGTACAAATATTTATATTCTTCCAAGGGGGCATTTTGTTAATGAAAAAATCGATATAAGGATCGAAAAGCGGAGGAAAGAAAATCGAGGATCATATGATTAGTTAAAAAATTGATAAAATGGAAAGATGGTTGGAAGACATTCGATGACCACATAACAGTATGAACACATAAATCGAGAATTGGAATCGAGAATCGAAGGAAGAATATTTGATGTCTATTGCTGAAGAAAATCGAGAAATTAGAATTAAGTGTAATGTTAAGATTAAGGGAAATCAAAAGCAAATCAAAGTTCTCGAGATTTGAAATCGAGATCGAGGGAAAGGTTAACCTACATGGCTATCGAAATTATGACTAAGTTATAAATTGAGGAACGGTTAAAACGCATATGGAACGTGGAAGCAGTTTTCTAAACCGTAGAACTAAGGTAAAACTTCGAGGGACGTGCATGTAGAACGTGGTAGCAGTTTTCGTTAACTGCTCTTAAGAGGTTACCTCAAGGATGCTCTATAAATAGAGCGAAGATTGAAGGAAAGAGGGGAAATTGTCAGAGAGAATAGAAACGCTAGTGAAAAGTCTACAGGAGAACGACGCATCATGAAGTTTCTAATGCTCTGAATTTCCATTATCGTTGATTGTCTTTATCGCTTTCTTTATTTTCCCTGGTAATTTACGTTTATGCAATTTACATTCATCAATTTAAGTTTTTGCAATTTCGATGTCCTGCTATTTACTTTCATGCAATTTTAATTCTTTGTCATTTACAGTTAATGCAATTTCGAGGTTTCCGCATTTACAATTTTCTGTAATTTAATATTATATACTGCCTTTCATTTTCGATACGTTTTACTGCTTTCCTTACTTCGCGTTTCTTAAGTAAAATACCAAAAAAAGAACACTTTCGAGTGTCAATCTGTATGGTCTATTACATTGTTGACCTTTCTCGATATAGTGACATTTTCGATTCTCATACACGTTTTAATTAAAAATTATTGCTAGTCTAAGTAAAAAGAATCTACGTGGTTGAAATTTGATTAGAACCTAAGTTTCTGATTGAATCGAAATCGATCCAATTTTTACCAGAAACACCATGTCTTCCATAAATAAAAATTGGTCCATTGTGTATTTCAACAAACAAAAAACTAGATATACGAATAAAGAAAAAATTGAATATGATAAAATAAAAACAATCTCTTATTGATTCATTGAGAATACAAGAAGTTTTGAATGCATTATCTTCTACGTAAGTTTTTCTTTCAACAATTTATTTTCAATTCTGTTCCAAAATTTAAAACTACTACTTGTTGCTCTATTTTGATTTTTTTTTTTTTTGGGTTTCTTTCATCTCATAATAATGGTTTCTTTTTTTATATTATAGTGTACCGGATTGCTTCAAGTTTAATTCATTTTTTAAATACTGTGGTTTGAATCTTTGCTTTGATATGTTTGACTATAATATATAACCTACTTGGTCTTTAGTTTCGATTTTTTATGGACAAATCATTAACTAATTGCATTCTTAAAACGAGTGACAACCTTTCATTTCTATATTTAATTCTCTTTAGTTATTTATATAATATAAATTTTAATTTAATAATAAGTGTTCGAATCAAATTATTTAATACAAAATTTAATTATGTTATATTTTGGGTGTTATTCAGAAGTTTTTTTTAAAATTTAAAAGAATAGTTTTTTAAAACCTCACGCTCTCATTCATTCTAATTGAATTTTAATAAACAAAAGTAAAATAACGTAAGAAAACGTGCATTCAGTTGATAGATAGAAAACTAAATTCAAATTTAAATTCAAAATTTGTAAACACTGAATCCTGTCGCAATCGGTTATCCTCATCTTCATTTCTAATATATAATAATTAATTATGACAGATTAGTTTAATAACTCTTGATAGTTTATTAATAATAATAATAATAATAATAATAATACTGCTTTTATATTTTATAATATTCACCCCACCCAACTGCACCCCACTACGCTACGCCTCAGCTGGGGCCTCGCTGCGGTGTGTGTACACGCAAGTCTTAAGCGCGTCAGCAGAAACAAGAGAAAGAGAATTTATTTATGTTATTATTATGGAAAGAGGAAAAGATGTAAATAAAGTGAGAGATGGGCACTTTAAGTTGGCATTCCATATTCCATTGACAACAACTTTTCTGCCATGTTGGCAATAACAAGCCACCACCGTCGGATTGGGACTCATCCAACGGTGTTCCTAGCGCCGAAAGCCTCGTCCCAAGATCTGACCCGTCCCTTGATGCGCGAGTGTGATGTGTGAATAGTGAAAGTGAAACATTCAACTAATTTCTCTTTTTCCACAAGCATATGAAAAAGGGGAAGATCAGATTATTAATTAATTCATTATTAATTAACTCATTATGGCATTTAATAATTATTATCCCTTTAAATGAAGCGAACCGAATGAAATGAAAATAAAAAGGGTGTTGGAGAGAAGAGAAGAGAAGAAGAGAGAATAGTCGTTAATGGCGGAATTCCAGTGACCGATGGTATTACAAAGCGTGATTTCGGTTACATGAGAGAAGACACAAGAAGCTCATGGATAGAACCAGAGAATCCAGAAGATCATCCATGGCCTCCTCCTCCTCCACCAGACGCTGACATCGAACTATTGCTCTCAGAGACTCTTCCGGTACTAACACGCTTTCTTCTTCATTTATTTATTTTCTGATATTTCTTACACTATTTCTGTTCCGTGACAGAGGAAGGAGCTGTGGAGTTGAAAGAAGGTATGAATAAGAGAGGAAGGAATCGAGATAGAGATAGGGATTCGGTGAACAGGAACAAGAGGAGGAGAGCTTCTCACTCGCAAAGCACCGAAGAAAGCGTTGGAAACGAACAAGACGACGACGCTGTAGATGTTGGCGTTTCTAAGATCCGCTCTCCTAATAATTCCACGTCGGTTTACTCCGATCAAAACCATCGCCGGATCTTCACGCCGTCGAAACCGCTTCCGTTTAATATAACGGAGGAGATGATCGGCGTGACCGTTCCCAGGAAGGCTCGTTCAGGTTGCGACGATATAAGTACTCTTTATTTTCCTTTTAACACTTTCATCTTGGTGTCTCCGAGAACTAACTTTTACTTTTACTTTTTTCCCCCCCTTTTTGCTGTTGTTTTGTAATTCGGTGTTTGATGTGTTTCCGCAGCTTCTGCGAAAAGGTCTCATGAAAGTTTTGTCTCCGCAAGTAGCGGTGGCGGCGGGGAGGAGCAGAATTTCCGGCAACGGTCGAATTCCCCCGGAGGATTGAGTGTTGAAGCGGCCTCGCCTTCTTCTTCGAATGTTTCTCTTAGGAAGAGGATGGTCTGTGCTAGTTTTTTTTTTTTCATCTCTGTTTCCGTTTTTTGAAAAGAACTTTTTTGGTTTTATTTTTTTTTTTTTCTTGAAGGATTGAATTCTGAGGTGTGTGTTATGTTTGGCAGAAAGAGATTGAAGTTGTTCCTAAGACATCAAAATCGTCTTCCTCAGACATCGAGATTGAGATAGCTGAGCTACTGTACGGTTTGAAGACATCAAAGAACCACGAGCCTTCTTCGAAAAAGCCTGAAACAGGTGTCACTCACTATAACGTCACCGTATCTTGTCCCTCTGACGATGTTGGTGGGTTTCAATTTCTGGAAGTTTTCTCTTTCATTCTTCCCTCCTCTTCTTCTTCTTTTTCTCCTTATTTTTGACCTTTTTTTTTTTCATTGGCATTTTTATCAGAGAAAAAGAAAATGGAAGATATAAACAATTTTTCCACCCTGGTTTCGAACAATTCAACTGAAGAGTTAGTCAGGATTCAGATTGAGCAACATACTGATGTGGATTGCCACGATGGTCCATCATCAGAGGCTCAAAAAGAGGTTATTGGGAAAGACAAGATGAATTCAGGTGCTGGGTTTGGGGATATTTCAGCGGATGGAAGACCGGTTTTCCCGAGAAAGAAATCGCCATTGCGCACCAAGTTCGATTCTGATAAACAAGATTCGGCTTCAAACAGAGTGTGAGCATTAATGAACGATGGCTTTTTTGTTTTGCTCTTGAATAAGCATATTCTGATACTGATCATTCTCCCCATTTCGTTGTGGCTTGATTATTAGGATGTCAGTTGTTCCAGAGGACAACACCCAGCGTGTAGGCAAGTTTGAGATAGATCTGATGGTGAGAATCTTAGTTGATTGCTTTTCGGTTATATTTTCCTTGGCCTTTGCTGTCAAGTATCTGAAGATTGCCTTTTCACCAGGCTCCTCCTCCTATGGTGCTGTCCCCGGAAGGGGATGACTTGTCAAGGGGTGATTTGATATCAGAAGCTAAAGCTTTGGCACTGGATGCGGAAATGGTGAGTAGGTTGACTGAATTTCGAAACTATTTTTACTTGTTCATTTTTCTGTTTCACGGTCCAACTGGTAAAAAACCTTGTACTGAAGGGAGATAATATCAAGGTGGAAACACAGGTTAAGAAGGAGAAAACTCCAGAAGAAATAGAAGCGGCAAAAAAGGTCACATTTAAGGAGAAGTTGGATGTGTTAAAACATGATTTGGAGAAGCCAAACAATGACATTAAGACAAATAAAAAATTAGAAGAGCAGGATAGGAAGAAAGAACTGCTTACCAAATCATCAGATCCCAAAGTAGAGAAAACCGGTAACTAATTTGATATTTTTGACTTTTTTTTTTTTAATTCAGCGCCATATGTCTACTTTTATCGCAACTCTTTTGTTAATTAGAAGTCTCTAATGTTTCTTTTCCTCTACAGTTCAATCTACTTCAATGCCTTTATCAACAGCTGAGTCAGGACGGTCCACAAGTCTCTCTCCCACTGGGTATTAGTCTATTATTATATCATCACTTCCCTAGGAATATATGCCTTTTACTTCAGGCTTATGCTACTCAAATTTAACTTTATGTTTGGTTATATTGATAATGTGAAATAGCTAACGTCGATAATTACAATTGGCAGAAACAAGCCGCCCTTGCAGCCAGTTGTGAAGACGGAGAAAACCACAAGATCATTGACACAACAGGTATTATAATTTTTCATAAAATTTGTTCTAGTTGTACGTATGCGAGTCCACTATTTATTCTTAGTGAGTGGTAATATAATAACTTCCAACCTATCTGTATTTAACAATACCATGCACGTTTCCTTCATGCTTGTTTGTGCAGCATGAGAATTTTGTCCTCTCTCAAAGGCGACCAAAGAGATGTGCAACACATTACTACATTGCTTGTAACATCTTCCACCAGCAGTTTACAAAGACGAACCCTCCTTTGCCGGCAGCTATTGGCTCTGGTTCTCTGTGTGGCACAAAACCCAACAATGTCAACTGTGTGCCCTCCGCAGATAGTGTGGCCGTTGGAAAGCAATCTCAAAAACACTTGCCAATTGTAAACCAAAATGCTCCACAAGAGAAAGGGTGGGCTGCCACCAGTAAGCCTAGTGTCACCGCAGCCAAATGTTCTAATAATGCCAATCCAATTGATTCAGCTCATAGGGTGCAGCTTGTGTTCCAGCATGGTCCCAATCCTGGGCCAACTGGTAATCTAGTGGTATGGTCTTCTCATTTAATTGCTTATATACAGCTAAAAATAAATGTGTTGTCTATTTTACTGATTTTATTGATAGCTTTTGTTGTATTGATGCCTCTTACTTTGGGAAGTAATGTGATTTAATTTTGAATGTAGCATGGTCCTGCTTTCCTCTATCCTCCAGGGCAGCATCAAACAACAGTTACAGCAACTACTACTCAGGCAGGAACTGTGAATTCCCCTAACAGCACTTCCTCATATAATATATCCCATGGTTCAATTGGTGGATCCCTTGGTACCTCCTCAACTTTGCCTGTAGTTGCTCCTGCTATGAGCTTTAGCTACCCAAATTATTCAGCCAATGGTTCCTCTCCGTATATGACAATAGTTCACAATAATGGGTATTCATTTCCTTTCTCAACTTCTCTTGGAGCAGCTGCATCAATCAGAGGTGCAAGCCCTCCACAAGCAACACATGTACTCAGTGGGCCTTTCTACTCTTCGCAACCGTTCCATCCACTTCAGCATCCTCAGTCACAAGCACTGGTTCAACCAAGTTATCCAAATGCAAACACATCAAATAGTTCATCATCTCATAAACAGTCACAAGGTGCACATGTTAATGGCACTAATATTTTGACCTCTACAACTATGGAACAGCAGTCACAAAAGCGACAGACCTCACTGTCTCATCTTCGCAAGCATGAGTCTGAGACGGGTGGAGGGAATGCCCATTCTGTTGCTAATCGAACATCTTACCCACAGAAGAATGTGCATGGGCAGAACTTTACAATTCCAGTTCAGCCAGTGAACTATTCTTTCAAGCCATCTGCAGCATCAGATGTTGTTGGCAATACTGGAAGCTTTGGTGACAAACAACAACAGGCTTTAAAAGGAACGGTAGAGAATATACCATCTCAAGCATTTGCAATATCATTTGCTGCATTTAATGGGACCAGTGTTCCTTCAAACCTTAACTTCTCATCCATGGCACAGAATCCTGTGATACTTCATAGCCTACCGGATATTGCATGGCAAGGATATCAAGCTGCAAGCGCACCTCAGACTACTCAGCAGATGAATTATTCAATTACCGAAACAAAGAGTGGAGGAAATTCTTCGCATCAAGATGATGAAAAGAAAACGATACATGCTAAGGCTTCTAGCAATGGACCAACTACCCTTGTTTTTGATAATTCATCCAAGAATCTTAACTTTGTGCTATCTACTGTGAATGGAAACCGATCTAGTCACCCCATTGCTTCAACTGCAATAACAAGTGTGCCTCTTTCAAGTAATGCTTCCAGTTCTCAACAGCCACAGCATTCGCTTCAGCTTCCAAAGCAGCATGCTGTGCAACAGCAGCAACCTACTCTGGCAAATCGATATAAAGCATCATCCACTAATAGCACTCCTGGTCCTGCTACGAAATTTGCAAACAATGCCCCTGTTTTCTCGCAAACTCTTACCCAATGCAAAAGTTCTAGCCAAGCTTCTCACACTAAGGCCTCGGGTAGAACTGCAGATTCTCATGTTCATCACTCGTCTATCATGACATCTAATACTCCAACCTTCAAAAGTTTTTCTCAGGAGCAAGGTAGAGTTTTGCCCGGTCATATGCAAATTTCTTTCGGTGGAAACTACATAACGTCCCTGCCGCCCCAAGGGCAACAAGTACTCAATAACAACCAGTCTGTGTGTACACCAGGTCAAGGAACTCCATTTAGTGGGGGCAATATGAAGTCAAATTCGGAAGGAAGTAAAATAAATTCGTCAGCCAACGCTTCACAATTTCAACAAGCTGAAAATTCTGCTGGGAGTGGCCAAAAATCTTCTCCAGTCTGTGGGAGAAATGTCCCATCAATATTGAGCTCATGCAACAGCCACCTATCAGAGCTGAAGTATTAGTTACCAAATCATTTTGCTGCATAAAGATAGAAGGATTTATCTACAATTGTACTCCTAGTCTTTGGGTAATCATCATATATTTTGGAGGCCTTTGCTACTCTGCTTCACGTTTTAAGCTATTCAATTCATGGATTTCGTGACCGCCCATGTGGTTTTGGTGCTAATGGTCGTGTCACAAGTGCCAGGTGCCGGAGTTTTGATGCAGTTCGTCTCGGAGATGGCAATGAGAGGTGTAAAAGCCATACTGAATATCACTATTGTGAGAGGGCATGTGGTATGACAGTTGCTGGTGGGACACAAAGGAGTGGATAATGAAAGGAAGTTGGGATCCATTAGGCCTGCAATTTTGAAACAGTAGGTAGCATTATCTTGTCAAAATTCTTGGTTGGTTAGCTTCTGGAAGGCCTTTAAGTTGTGTTGGGATCTAATTAAGTTGACATATTAAGTGAATTCTATATGTGTATATATTATGATATTTTTTAGCTCCCATAGCAAAAGATGTACTCAAATTCATTTTTTAATGAAAAAAAACCTGCAATTATTTCTCTTTATTTTGATGTTAATAGAGGGTGGATCGTTGGACTTTTAAAGACCGAGACCTGAGAGAGAACACAACAAATGACAATGCAAATTTTCCGGGAGTGGTTCCTCTCTTTAAATTTTTGGCGTTTCCTTGTTTCTTACCATATTGTTCTAGTATTTTATTCAATGCAGCCTCAATTCCCTGAAAAGTTTTGAGCTAGCATTCCCCGCTATGAACACAAAAACATGATATGATGGTACCCAAGTGAAAGAAAGTGACTTTACCTATCAGATGATGATCCTTATCTGTTGTCCTTTTTCTCATGTAGACCCTTTCTCGTATGTCGCTTTTTCTTTGGTACAAGCATATGTGCTTTTATTTCAGACCTTTTTTGCCGTGAAGGGATGGGTCCTTGCTTGGAGCAAGACTGACCAGATACTACAGTTTCCCTTGTCGATTGAAATAGAATCAAAGTTAAGACATGATATGCGCCAAACAGTCTACATAACGTGACACTTTGTCTGTTGGATAAGGGAATCTACACTATTTATGGTCCTGGGGTGTTTCAGATGCTTATAATGTCTCGTTCGAGATCATTGTTCTGTGAACTGGAATATATAAAAAGGGGTGATCCTTATAACAAGGATCATCGTGCATATCTAACTAGGCAGAAATTCGTATCATATAAGTGGAGTTGTTTAAACAATTTGAGACTAATTACGAAACCTCAACAACTGCCGACAAAACATGGAAGCTATGTCAATACAATTGAAACAGCATTGACCCAACATAACATCATGGGTCAAGTTTAAAAATAATCAAAATTATTTAAATATACAGACATTTTTTTTAATATGACATAATTAAATTGTTAACATAATTCAAGAAAAAAAAAATTAACTTATTGCCTTGAACTACACTATGAATAATCCGGGACAAATGGGCTAACAAAAATGACATGACACGAGCATATGCACAAGTAGTTTCATTTTCAACCGTTGTCATTTATCGTCCATGTTACAGCCAGCAAACAATGATTTGATTCCCGGCATGAAATATTAGCTTTCTCAATTATGTGAATGCATTCGATTCGCGTAATCATTCACTTCAAGAAACCTGAAATGTCTCCTTCTGATTGGAATTGGAAGTAGGAAAAGCTCCTCACACCGGGTTTGGTGCAGATGTCCTCGTCTTCACCATTCTATTTATTGTCTTCTGCCTAAAGACAGGAACCAAAGATTCTTCTACCGTTCCTTCTTCATCAAGGATGCATGTAAAATACATTCAACCACAAAAATCTATGTAAGTAATCTTAATCAAGGCCTCTTACACATTGACAGTGACTTGATAATAATAGTATTTGGTTTACACTTTAGTTTCATTCTATAATCTTTAATTAACTGTGTTAACACGTAATCTTAATCACATATTAACACTATTAGTTTAAAAGCAATACTCTGATTAAAATGATACATTTGTTAAATGTTATATCAAATACACTAACTATGCTTTTTTCTTAACTTTGTGTTTTTTCAGCATTTACATAATTTACTTTGAAAACTCAATGTATCAATAATCAATGATAATGTATATCGCTTCTCTAATCAATCTTCTTATTTATTTATTCAGGAAAGGAATAAGTTGGAAAAGGAACAACACGAACACACTTTAGTCATCAACAATCCACACCCAGTTTGTTTTTGGAATCCATTAATTAATTAAACAATCTGAATGATTGTCAATTAATGATTATCCATTAATTAAAAATTCTGTCAAAAAAAAGAAAAGAAAAAGAAGCAGTATCAAAATTAAGCAAACATCAATTGTACTGAAATCAAGAAAAAGATTCCAAATCAACGTATAAGGTCTATCACAATAGATTTAATTGCGTATAATAAGAAAAATAAATCAAAATTTTACAACAATCCATAACAAAAGCTAAGTAGACATGAAAAAGGATAATAAAAAAATCTTGCATTGGTTGGATATATGTTACCTATTAATTAAAATAAATTTTTAATATTGTTTTTATTTTGTCATGATAAATTTAAGTTTCGAGTTTAATAGTTAAGTATTAGGGTGAATATTTTTACCTGGCGATGAATAAAATTATTTTTTTAAGGTGATTTTAAGATAATTTGTATAAAATTTAATAAATTTTGATATATAAAATAGTGATATGATTGAATAACAATATAACTATTTTTACTCGTTTGTGTATTCAAATTAAAGTCTTTAACTTTAAGACATTTAAATAACAAATAATATGTTAACCATATTCACCCAAAACAAAAACACGTGTATAACTTTTGTGTAAGCCTTTTTAAATAAGTATATAAAAAGAACATGTTCATTAACTTTTGTGTAAGCCTTTTTTACATAATTGTACGGAGCATGTTAATTCATAATTGTCACTATTAGTTTAAGTGTAGAATAATTGCGGCATTATAATATAATTAACTATTTAAATTGTAATCTCTTATATACATTATAATCTCTCACATAAATTATTGATTAATTGAATTTAAACAGCTTGCAATAAATAAGGTTCTCTTATCTTAAAAATAAAAAACAAGTATAAGATCATCCTGATAATTTTCATTAGAATTAAATTTGTCATTTTATATTTCATATTTTTATTTGTGGCTTCATGACATTTTAAAATATCTTTTCTTATTATTTTATACAATATTTTTAAAATTAGATTGATTATTGAATAAGTAAAAATATGAATTTAAAATTTAAAAATTTTCGAATTTAATAAAATAATGAAGATTATTATTATGTAAGTTAATTATAAATATAAAATATATTAGAGAATTTAAAATAAATAATAATTAAAATAAGATTAAAATATAATAAAATATTATTATTTAAATTTGATATAATTAATACAAGATAAAAAATTAAAATATATTATATTTTTTATAAAAAAAATAATTTTTATTTTTATTTTTATTTTTACCAAAATCCTTACCATTTATAAATTTAGTCAATTTTTTTATTTTACTGATTTTATACTAGTTTTTTTTATTACGTTAGACAAATGGTATCTAGAGGGTGTGAATAGATGCACAAATTAAAATAGATGTCAAATTAAAAATTTATTTGTGAGTTAATAATTTGTTTGAACACAGATAAAGCGAAAACAATAATATAATCAGGAAAGGAGAAAGAGATAAGGGAAAGAGAAGAGCACACAGAGATTTATACTGGTTCGGGTATAGTCAACCCTACATCCAGTTCTCAGTCAACTCTTAACACAAGAGTGACTCCCCATTCACTATCTTTCAAATTCAGTTTATAAATTACAATCAACTCAGCAGAAGAACCATTAAAAAGTAAACTAATTAAAAAGACAACACCTCCTTAGAAACCCACTAAGGATGAACACCTCCCTAGAATCTCACTAGGGATGAACACCTCCTCTGAACAAATTAAAGGATGAAAACACCTTCTTAGAATCCCACTAAGGATGAATACCTCCCTAGAATCACACTAGGGATGAAAAACATCTCCTTTTCACCAATACAAAAAGGATGAAGGGAATAAAAATAAGAACAGACACACCTGGGTAATAGAGACAACAAATTGTAGAAGCCTGTAGAATGCCAATCTCCAGGAACAAGTGTGATTAACAATGAAAGCACATAAGGCAGTAGAGAAGAGGGTTTTCTCAAAAGGTGTAAAATATCTCTGTTGCCTTGCTCATAATTCTTTTCTCAAAACTGATTGAATGTAAATTGTATTTTCGAATTCTGTAATTGTGTGTTTTTGATTTTTCATCAAAACTTAATTAAATAGAAAAATAGCATCAGAAAATGACCGTTGGACATTAATAATATCATAGAGAAAATCAGGATGTATTGAAAAAAATTTATTCTTTAAAACGAATATATTTTTCAAATTTGAATTGTCATAATTGATTATATTACCAGTATAATTAATTATGATAGAGAAAATCATTTTTCCATTTCTAATGCATCATAATTAATTATGATAGAGAAAAATATCATGTTATGAATTTTATCACACTTGTGCTTTGGAGGCTTATGCATAATATTACTTCATCAACTTGTACCTCCATATCCAGTATTCTAAGACTCTATCTAGGATTCAGGAATCATCTTGGGCTTGCTTGAATCATCATCTTTATCAAAAACATATCTTGGGCATGTAGGAAAATGTTTCACATTTTCACCAACGTCATAAATTCAGTCTGTCCTTAATTCATCTTGAATGGTGTTGACTTAAATGTAGTTGACTTGAATCATCATCAAAATCATCTCTTGGGAGTGTAAGGACATTTCCATCAATCTCCCCCTCATTGATTTCAATCTCCCCCTTTTTTATGATGATCAAGGAAACACCTGAAATGAATTAAAATGCTTGACTCTATATAGCCAGCTCAAGATTAGCACATATTTGTATCAAGTGTCAGAGTCTCTTAATCTCTGCCTGGATATATTAATAACAAGACTCCCCCTAACTCATATGAGCAAAGACTTCTCTTAACTCCCCTTGTTTAATTTAGATAGGAAATAATTTCACACAGATTTTAATTCATCAAAAAATATCCCCCTGTTTCATTGATAATCATAAAAAATATTATTAAAAAAATATCTTCCCCTGTTTCACACATATTAATATCATCAAAATATCTCCTTATTTTATTGATAATTATAAAAAAAATTATAAGAGAAAAAAAATCTCCCCATATTTCACACATATTAATATCATCAAAATATTTGTTTCATTGATAATTATGAAAAATATTATAAGAGAAAAAAATCTTCTCCTGTTTCACACAGATTAATATCATCAAAATATCTCCTTGTTTCATTGATAATTATGAAAAATATTATAAGAGAAAAAAATACCCCCTGTTCCACACGATTAATATCATCAAAATATCTCCTTGTTTCATTGATAATTATGAAAAATATTGCAATAGAAGCTGAGAACAAATTTGTACATATTAGTACATAGATCAAGGTAGAGAAGATAATGCATTACAAAGTGTCATAGAGAAGAATATCATATTAAGGAGGCAATATCTAGGATACCCAAGACAAATGGAGAGAGAGAAAGATAGGGGAATAAAATGATTATAGAGATAATGGAATGAAATGCAGTAGTTTCCCTCAATTGTAGTCTTCTTATTTAGGCAGCTTTCAAATTCAAATGCACTCATATTCCAGATTTCAAATTCAAATTGCAATAAATTTCAAATTTTAAATTCAAATTTCAAATTCAATTTCAAAAATCTCAAACTACAAAAATTTCAAATTTCAAAATCTCAAACTACAAAATTTCAAAAATCTCAAATTGAAAAATTTCAAATTTCAAAAATCTCAAAAAATCTCAAACTGCAAAATCTCAAATTTCAAAAATCTCAAATTGTAAAATTTCAAATTTCAAAAATCTCATACTGCAAATTTTAAAAAAAAATCTCAAACTGCAAAATTTCAAATTTCAAAAATCTCAAATTGCAAAATTTCAAATTTCAAGAA